TGAAGGGTTTTGTTCTGTCTTTTTTTAGCTTATTTTTCTGTGTTTTTAAAAGTTCGGGGTTATTTCTATATTTTGGTCCTCAAGCTCTGAGATTCTTTCTTCTGCTTGGGTAATTCTGCTTTCCATGCTTATCAATTTGTTATTTATTTCATTCACAGTATTCTTTATTACTGTTATCTCAGATATCAGCTCCTTCCTAGTTTCTTCTTGTGTCTCCTCAATTCTTTTTAGTCTCTCCATTATTGTTTTGATATCTACATTTGCATTTTGAGACCCTTCATTCTGGGGACTTTTCATTGTTTGTATTCCAAAGTCAATTTTCTCAGTGTCTGCTCTCCCAGGCGTCTGGGAGAGACCCATACTCTTCTTTTGGTTTTTCTTCATTTCTGTAGATTTTTCTCCCTTTACCCCTTTCCCTCCCCCTCTTCAATTCTGTTTTTGAGGGAAGGTGGGGTTGCTTTTATTTCTCTTCTGCAATGACCTGTTCTTCCTTATGAGGGTCTTCTGGTTTTGTTCACTTTTCCCTCTGCTTTACGTCTGTCTATTCAGCAGTTTGCAGTCTTGGTCTGTTCAGAGAATCTCACCAGTTCACCTATGCCGTCGCCATCTTGCCCCGTCTCCGCTCTTCTGGATCTTCTAAAATAGTATTTTTTAATATCCCAAGTGAACTCTTAAATAATAAGCTTATGTGCTTCTAAATTCTCACTGAAGAAAAAATCTATCATTCAGATTAATACAGTTCTAAAATTTCAAATGAAAGTAAGATATGCTATTAATATAAAAATGTGATTTCTAAATTCAGGACCTGGGGATAACTCCTTCAGGTCCCCTCCCACTGTGGGAGATTTTCTGTCTTCTCAATAAATCCTGCTTACTAAATAATAATAATAATAAATAAATAAATTTCAGGATCTGATCTTAAAGGCATTTGTATAACTGAGTTTAAGTTCAAAAAAGAAAATAAATTGTTAAAAATTTGGAAAATTCTTATCACTGTAAATGCAGAATTTTTTTAATCCTAACTTCTTTAAGAAAAGACTCCATGAAATGACTTCTAAGCATGAAACTATGACAAATTTTCTCATCTATAATGTAATGTGTTTATAATAATTAATTGAAGGAAATAATAATGATAGTAGGAAGCCAGTAGTATTCAATACAACCTCTTCTTTTCTTCCCCTTTTTTCTTTAAAATACTTCTGGAAGTGGAACTCTTTGTCAGTGAGTTATCAAGCAGCTGCAGGACATTTATTCACCAAATCTGCTAGGCGCATCAGGCGCGTCCAAGCCCTGGGAGCACTGACACCCGCGCACACCTGGCTTGGTCACGAGTACCTGGGCGGTGCCGTGCCCAGCCCAGCCCAAGCGCAGGAGCCGCCGCCACCGCCACAGCTCAGGTGTCGGGTTACGGGAGGGCGGGGGCTCTGCTCAGCATGGGCCGCGGGCACCCACCCCAAATAATTTTTTTAAATATTGTTGGTGCAAATCAATTCAGCAGAGCCTGATTGTGCCAGAGTTAAGTGACACAATAAATTTCTCAGCCTACAGACCTATAAAGTGGTGATCCCATTAAAGCTATAGCCAAGAAAGCCTTTCAACTCTGTTCATAGCTCTTCTTTGAACCTAAGGTGCCTTGACTTTTCTTAGCTTCCTATTCTAGATTTAACCATGTTTGCAGTCAGGTTTTGTTTAATGTGCCGTCTATTTTGTTGTTGTGGTTACTGTGAAAGTTGACATTGCCTGTGTCTCTTGATTCTGACTTGGAGCGATCCATTTTGCCTGGAAACAGATAATAAAGTGAATCAAACATTTAAAGCAAAAACAGAAGAAGTTTTACTTTCTTTGCTCGATGTAGCAAGTACTACTTAAGTGGAAGGAAATTGATACCATATATACAAAATTAGAAAAAATGTTTATATGTCAAGAGCAAATTTTATTATCAAATGCCCCCTGCTTGACCATTTCTGACCTTCCTAAAAGAAGTAATTTTATTGATGCATAATAAATAATTGCACATATTTATGGGGCACATGTGTTATTATTATATATGACAATCAAATGAGGGTAATTGGGATATCTATCACCCCAAACATTTATCATTTCTTTGTTTTGGAAACATTCTAAGGCTTCTCTTTTAGCTATTTCAAAATATACAATAAATTACTGTTACTTAAAGTCACCCTGCTGTGTTATCAAACACAATATCAAACATATTCCTTCTATCTAACCACATTTTTGTACTCATTAACCAACCTCTCTTCATCTCTCCCCACGCCCAGCTACACACCTACACAACTGTCCCAACTGCTGGTAAACACCATTCTACTCTCAATCTTCATAAGATCAACATTCTTATAGCTCTCACAAATGAATGAAAACATACGATTCAAGGGGACAACCCCAAAATATATAAAATTATTTTCTGGGGGGTGGGCCTCTTGTAGTACAGGCTTTCCCTGCAAGGTAAGTGTTCTAGGAACCCGTTGCCATCAGTGTACCAGCTAACATTGTTGTAAGAGGCTGCATTCAGTTTCAGGAAATTTCTTTTTGGAGATTCTTTCACTGAGTTTGCCCATCTCGTGATGGCTGATTTACTAACGCACTTGTCCCCACCACACTGAGTGCTCAGCAGTTTTATGACCCTTCCTATTCACCCAATTTCACCCCAAGCGACTTTTTTGTTTGCTTGTTTCCCTGGATGAAAAAAGTCCTCAAAGGGAAATGTTTTGCAGACATAGAAGAGGTGAAATAAAAAATGGCAGGAGCACTAAAAGGCACAAAAACTGACAAGTTCAAAAACTGTTTTGAGCAGTAGAAAAAGTGCCTCAATAGGTGTATTGCATCAGATGGAGAGTACTTTGAAGGTGACTGAAGTTTAAACATGTAAGAAAAAATATGCACGTTTTTATAAATAAATTCTGGGGGGTTTTGGGGTCCCCTCTCGTATTTGTCTCTCTGTGCCTGGCTTACTTCATTTGACATAATGTCCTCCAAGCTCATTCATGTTGCTGCAACTGACAAATGACAGAAATTCATCTCTTTTTATTGCTAAGGTTCCAGTGTGTGTGTGTATAGCATATTTTCTTTTTCTTTTTTGGGGGGGCGTGGTTCTTTTTTAAAATTTTTTATTTTAAAGATGCGGGGTACAATTCAGGTTTAGGTATACAAATGTTGATTATGCAGGTACCCTTGTTGATGAGGCATGCTCCCTCCTCCCCTGAGGTTTCCCATTACTGCCAATCCCTTTCTTATAGTATTACAATAATTGTTCAAGATCTGCTTATGAGTGAGAACATGTAGTACTCAGTTCTTTGTTTCACGATAGATCACCCGGAATTATAGCCTCTAAGTCCATCCAAATCGCGGTGAAGTTCATAATTTTGTCCTTCTTTATGGCTGTGTAATATTCCATCATGTATATGTACCACATTTTTTTTATCCAGTCCTTTTTCAATGCAAATGGGAATGCAAACTTGTACAACCTCTCTGGAAAGCAGTCCAAAGATTTCTGAAAGAACTAGAAATTGACCTTCCATATGACCCAGCAATGGGAATATACCCAGAGGAACTCAAATTATTCTACGAAAAAGATACCTGCACGCCTATGTTTGTTGCAGCTCTATTCACAATAGCAAAAACATGGAACCAACCATGTTGCCCATCA